AAATGATTTTGTTATAAATTTAATCCGCTGTTTGGATCTGAGATTTTTGTGGCCAAAATATTCCCATATTTAGGACCTCGATTCAGGAAAAGTTTTTCCTCCTACATCAAAAATGCCAAGTCCATCCTCTAAAACAGCCACGGAAGGCTGCAAAACCACTTATTGTAACATTTAAAATCATTTATAACCGTAAGATAGATTTTTTTAGAAATGTATGACATTCCAATATGGCAGGCGTTACCGTAGCAACACAAAAGAATTTTCAAAATTTTACTTCATGACTTAATTCTCCACACATTTCATATATTATATTGATGCTACCCAATGATGCTACAACATTTGTGAGCTTAGTTTCTTCTTCTTAACGAATTTCAAAATTTCTCCCGCATCTTGCCTTAAACCGGCAGTGGACGCTCCGTCTAAACGAAGCTTGAGTGCCGTGAACGTAGCCTCAACAGCGCCTGCAAACTGCATTCAGGGCGCCGTGAGCGTAGCCTGCCAATTACATTCACGGCGCCGTGAACCTAGCCTGCAAACTACGTTCACGGACGTAGCCACTGCGTAATAATAATGAAGATAATTTCTATAGCGCCCACTCCCATGTAAACACAGCTCTAGGCGCTTTACATAAATGCATGTACAAACAACATTCACGCACGCTACACACACGCACAATACACACACTCATACACACACACACACACACACACACACACACACAAACACACACACACATATATACACACACACACAAACACACACACATACACACTCACGAACACATAACACGCATAACATGTGCACACACATGTATGCCAATCACACACACACACACACACACACACACACACACACACACACACGCACGCACGCACGCGCGCACACACACACACACACATACACACACACACATCTACATGCTTATCACACGCACATGCTTACACATCGTCACGAAATGAGCATAAAATAATATACACAATGCAATTCACAAAATACATAAATGGATACATAGTCATTTACATAACATTGTACTGACATAAAAAGGATGTCATTAAATGTGTCTTTAAAGATTTCTTAAATTTAGACTCAAATGTTGTACATGTATGTCTCAAGGGTTGGGGGAGAGAGTTCCAAACTGACGGAGCAAGGTGGGCGAACGATCTTTCAGCTAATTTTTTACCCCCTTTTCTAGGAACTCTTAAAAGATACTGATCGCCTGATCTTAGTGATCTGGATGGAATATAATATAAATCTGGATGAGATCACTAAGATATGAGGGAGCTTTGTTATTGACACATTTATGACATAATATAGCAATTTTATATGACATTCTAGCTGACACGGGAAGCCAATGCAACGTTCTTAACATGGGCGTACTGTGGTCCCTTTTCTTTTTCTTTAGTACAAGCCTAGCAGCATGATTTTGAAAACGTTGTAACTTGTGAAGAGTGGTATTTGGTAAGTTAGCTAGTAAAGCATTGCAATAATCGATGCGCGAAAACAAGAAAGATGACACGGGCGTTTTCAACGAGTGTTCATTAAAAAACATAGACATATGACCAATTCTACGCAGTTCACAAAATAAAATGGTACATAAATAATTGATATAATGTTCCATTGACAATTTTGAATCAAAATACACTCCCAGATTTTTTGCTTTATTAGTAAAATACAGTTTTTCATTTTCCGTACAAATATATATGATCAATGTCTACGGGGATATGGCTTTTCTTTGGGTTGCATAAAAGAATTTCAGTTTTATTTTCATTAAGCTGGAGCTTATTATCAACCATCCACTTTTTGATGTCATCAATGCACAGACTTAGACAGGTGAAACCCTCGGAAGGGAGCGGACTTTTCTTTCCGTCTCCGCGTTGGACAGGTTTATGTTTTATACAGGTAATTAAAGAGGAATAATATATCAAGGGACGAGCGGGGAGATTCCGTTAAGACAGGATTCCGTTTTAAACAGGTTTCCGTTAAGGCAGGTTCGACTGTACAGGGTGTCCATTACGGATGGGATCGGCGGATCGGGCCGATCGCCCGACTCGGTCACCTGAAACTGCCTGATCCAGTCGTAATGGGCACCCCGTATTAAAGAGAGCTACATCGATGCAATAACAACCGTTTAAGAGCAAGAGCGAGATGGGCACACAGAAGCAACAGGAAGAAAGATAGAAGGGCCCAGAGGCGAAGCGTCTATATTTATCAAATAATCACTGCTTCCCTTCCTAATTTTGAAACTTTGTCGCAGTCAAATTCACCCATAGACGTAAACCTCATAAATTAAATGTAAAAAGACGTTCATAATCACCAATGAACAATAGACTATGCCTAACCTTCAAAACCGTTTCATTGCCACAGAAATAGCCTGTTCGACCCTATCGGGCCACTCCATAAGCAGTCACAAGCTTTGATTAAGTAAGCTTAAAGTAAGGCTGGAAGAGTCAACCAATATAGTTAAAGGGAACATGTGCATAATAGTCAGAACTGTTTCATTGTCGCATATATACCCTGTTCACCCCTTTCGGGCCAGTTATAAGCACCCAGACGCGCTGATTAGGTAAGCGAACTATTACACTGGTCGAGTCTACCTCACAGATGTGAGGGGAACTAACTCCTAATAATCCTTTGACTCCTGCTACTACACTGCTAGTGCTTGTTTTTTTTTCCTCGACTTTTTAACGTCCTATAATCAGATCGTGACCTCGATTATGACACCGGCTCCTGGACGCGAAAAGCTAGACAAAAAACAGCCAAATGTGAAATAAAAAATTAATATTTGGCATGCTCTACCAAAGTGTTTCGGCTGTCTGGTACAACATGCCATTGTAGTGCTGACATCTCTGCTTCTTTCCTTGGTGTTCGTGTGTTCAAATCTAAAGTTAAATTTAAGGTTAGTTAGAATAAATATTTAATGAAATACTTTCCCGATTATTTTAGCGGTTGAACAAGCATACAACATGAATTCAGGATTTGTTTTCATTCACAACTCAGAGTTGCCGCCTCCAGTGCCAGTAAGATTCTTGTGACTTGTGTGAGTGTGATATCTCCAGGCCCTATCTGGTTCCATTTCACTTTGATTACCCTGTCAAACAAGTCAGCCTTCGCCCCTGGAAGGGCCTACCAATGCCCCCATCCCCCATACATAAAGCCTTCTATCTTAGAGGGCGTACATATGTGTAGATCACTTGACACTAACACATTTAATTATCACCTCACTACCCCTGAATAACAAAGCTCTATCTGCTCAGAACCTAGTTTTGAGAAATGTGACGTGAAAAAATTCTAGTTTTACATGTCAAGCTTTTTCGAATACAGTTCTTTGAATATTTTGATAACGACTTCGAATAATCTTACGATTTTGATAGAGGAGATAGATTTGGTTTCTGACCTATTGAATTAATCTTAGTAACTTAAAACTGCCAAAAATGTCAGATAGAATTCTGTAATTCTGAAGGTAGCGACCTCCAGCTTTGACTCATTGAAGTTGAAGAGGTGCAGTCGGATCACTCGACTATACTTGAGCTTCAGGGTAATATGCTGTTAAAGACACTTTAAAGGAGAACGGTATAACTATGTTTGTTATTCATTCACATTTTTCAAATTTTTTTTCTGTGTCCAAAACTTTAAAAAGCAAGCAACATTACATTCATATATTATGAAATATATAAATCGTGCTTCTGGTTTGGGTATGAGGTCTGCTGTTGAACCGATGAATGTGTCCAGTCCGCGATTAAGATAAGGTAAGATAAGATGAGACAATACTTTAATGCATCAGATGGAAATTTTTCTAATTACTTCATGCAGCACCAGGGCTAGCTGCACAATAGAGGGAGACTACAGTTTCGATACCCATTCTTCATTGAGTTACCGTAGACTATACGACGAGTGTAATAGATTGGCTCACGGAAACTAGGATCAAATTTTTAGGTGCTGCAAAGAGCAGAGTTTCATGCACCTTTCCTCTTGTGCGGGAAGAACGATGCCTTGATTTCTCTTAGTGACAAAAATAGCTTGGGGGGGGGGGGGGGGGGGGGGAGGGGGTGAAGGTCAGGGTTAGGTGGAGCGCCTGCACCAATTGCACCGATGGCGCCCCGCCATTGAAGACCTTTAAAATTAATGTATATGGCTGTAACTTTCCTGTTCTTGAACCTCCCCCCACCCCCACCCCCCCTCTCTCTCTCTCTCTCTCTCTCTCTCTCTCTCTCTCTCTCTCTCTCTCTCCCCTTCCCTTCCCCGTCTCCCCACTCCCCCCGACCCGGTTTACGGGCCCTCTTCCAGGTAGACGAGTGACGTCATCATGCTGCTCGTCTGCCAGAGTACAGACAGGGCTGAGTGTGGGTGAAGGTGAAGGTCGTCTGGGTCGCTAACACTGGGTGGACGTTTCTGACTTCTTCAGAATGGTGAAACGGTATAAGTTTAGAACGCCCCTATCAACACTACCTCCGAGTTTAATGTCCATCTCCGAAAGGGCTAAGCCAAGTGGGAAATTCGAGTAAAGTGTCTTTCCCAAGTACACCACGTCGGGCCGAGCTGAGGCTCGATCCCCCGAACACATATCTTACGATTACGAGTCCCGTTGCCTAACCC